CCCGGATCTCCATGGGACAGCCCCAGTGCCCCAATCCTGCTTCCCGGCAGCCAGTTCCCTCCTCTCCCACCTCCTTCCAGCCTGCCCCACTCTGCTCCCCTCCCATCAGCCACGCTGAGGCTGGGTGTACTGGGTCGTGGCCCATAGTTCTAGACCTTTTTCAGTGTTCAACAGAGATGTCTTGCACGGTTGAAGTGGTGGCTCGGCTCCTTGGGGATTCAGAAAGCCTTTGACAAGGTCCCTCACCAAAGGCTCCTGTGTAAATTCCATGGCCATGGGATAAGAGGGAAGGTCCTTTCTTGGATTGAGAACTGGTTAAAAGACAGGAAACAAAGGGTAGGAATAAATGGTAAATTTTCAGATTGGAGAGGGGTAACTAGTGGTGTACCCCAAGGGTCAGTCATGGGACCAATCCTTTTCAACTTATTCATAAATGATCTGGAGAAAGGGGTAAGCAGTGACGTAGTAAAGTTTGCAGATGATACCAAACTGTTTAGGATAGTCAAGACAGAAGCAGACTGTGAGGGACTCCAAGAAGATCTCACCAAACTGAGTGATTGGGCAACAAAATGGCAAATGAAATTTAATGTGGATAAGTGAAGAGCAGATTTTACAACCTAATCTGTTAGTATAAAATGAAGGTCTGTTTAAAGACAATAGGGATGTGTTATGTACAAGGCCATATGCTTTTAAGCAGCCACTAGGCAATAGATAAACCTGAGTTCTTAGGGAAAGGGTTGGACTCTGGTGGCAGGCATAGTAAGGGACAGGCCAAGCCATGAGCTTTCAAGTGAGAAGTCAGAGGGAGTGTGGGCATGGCGTCAGAGCAGGGTAGGGACTTACATGGTGCCAGTCTGTTTGGCAACCCCCCTCTTTGCCAGGAGAGTGCAACTTTCCCTCCCTGCAGGAGTGGGAGGGGGGAGAGGGTCTGGGCATGGCAGCAGAGCAGGGCGGGGGGTCATATGGCACCCGTATTTTTAGTACTTCCCATTTGCCAAGAGTGCAACTTTTCCTTAACACAGGAGTAAGCGGGCAGGAGTGGAAAGGGGGCGGTCTGGGCGTGCCTGCCCCGGGATCAGTACCTGACTGTGAGACATCCTAGGAGGAGAGAATTGTCTTCAAGGCTATAAAAAGCTCTCAGTGACCTCAGTTGCCCTGTTCACCTGCTGACCATTTCCCTCCTCCTTCTGTTTGTCAGAGGCTGGAGAGGGATGGCAGGAGACAAATCGCTTGATCATTGTCTTCAGTCCACCCTCTCTGGGGCACCTGGTGCTAGCCACTGTTGGCAGACAGGATACTGGGCTTGAAGGACCTTTGGTCTGACCCAGTACGGCCGTTCTTATGTTCTTATGTAAATAACACTTAATATCCAATAAAAAGCCCACACAACTCACGACTGTATTTTTATATTAAACACGTGGACAGACGCACAGAGCCATGAAGGCAAAAATATCAAAAAGGGAAATAGAAGTCTAATAATAGCAAGCTAATGGAGTACATTTCCAACACATAATCCTTAGTTGTTTATTATAAAGAAAACAGAACCAATATATGAATATTTGAGCAACTGAGCATCTCATCTCCTCAGATAAAGCTTTTTATGGCTTGTGGTGACTAGGTGATCCTTCCCAGACGTAAATAGCTTTGAAAGAGACTAAATGGGACGGATCATTGAGGGAGGAATGATGCATACTCCTCCCCTCAAAATCTTAGGACTCAGTCTAGACTCACTAATGGTGCTCCCCTGCGGTCACACCCTCCCTTTCTGTTTGATGCAGCCAAACCTTGATCTTGCTTTAAGTTACGATAAGAGGAAGCTGCATACTAAATTTGGTGGTCCCAGTTCAGGCCTGGGTAAAATACGGCCTGTGGGCTGAATCCGGCCCCAACCAAACCACCAGATCCAGCCTGCAGAGGGTGCGGGGAGCCTGAGGCATGCTTCCTGCTTGCTGTGCACCACCCCCATGCCACTCAGAAAAGCAGCTGTGTGGCTGTTTCTCTTTCAAAACTGAGAGCCTGGAGGGGAAACTTCAGGCTCTGTTCCTGCCCTCCTGGCCAGAAATAACAGCCACGAAGCCCCATATCTCCTCCCCTCCAACTCATAGTTATTCACACAAGCACATGGCCTTGTGCAGGGGCAGAGCAGCCTCCCTGTCTGCCTGAGACACATGCTTGGCTGATGGCTGGGAGTCACTCAGGTAAGTCTCCTGGCCAGAGCCTGCCTCTGCCATCCCAGTCCCTCCCTTCCTCAACCCTCTGCCCCCTCCACTCCACCTCTACACATACCCCACACCTTCTGATACCCTCCCCTGCATCCATATATACAGTGGTCAGAAACCTGCAGCCCCTTATTTGTCCACTCAGCTACTTCTCTGAATTAAAGTTACTTTTAAGTCATCTCATGAGTCAGTCCAGTGTCCCAGGTCACAACTGCCTTCTTCATCCACTCTCCCTCCTGTACCCCAGTTTCTTATCCTAAGCTCCCTTCTGCACCCAACCTCCATCTCACCCCCTGCA